CGTGTAAGTGCCCATTCATCTAAAGACATAAGTGATTCACTTCTTTTAATCTATAACTAAGGTCTGAGTCCTGAAGACCTTCCTCTGGAGCCTCAATAAATTCACTTAATCTAATGGATCTAGATGCTGGGGTTTTTTTTTTGTTTGTTTGTTTTTTTTTGAGATGGAATCTTGCTCTGTTCCCCAGGCTGGAGCGCAGCGGCACAATCTCGGCTCACCGCAAGCTTTGCCTCGGTGCCGGGTGATTACCCTTATCTTGGCTCCCGCTAAATCATGGAGGTTTGGGGAGTTCTTTCAGACTCCCAGTAAACTTGTCTGTGGAGACCTGGGGAGTTTCTTCAGACCCACAATAAAACTCGTTTAATCCTAAATGGGTCCTGTTAAGAACTTCTTCGTTATGGGCTGAATGCGGTGGCTCATGCCTGTAATCCCAACACTTTGGGAAGCTGAGGCGGGTGGATCATGAGGTCAAGAGATCGAGACCAGCCTGGCCAACATGGTGAAAGCCTGTCTCTACTAAAATTAAAAAAATTAGCCAGGCGTGGTGACGCACGCCTGTAATCCCAGCTACTCAGGAGGCTGAGACAGGAGAATTGCTTGAACCTGGGAGGCAGAGGTTGCAGTGAGCCAAGATCCTGCCACTGCACTCTACCTGGGTGACACAGCAAGACTCCATCTCAAAAAAAAAAAAAAAAAAAAAAAGATTCCTTCATTATTTTCTTATGCTTTAAGGCCCAGGAAAAGCCTAGGCAAAAGTTTCGATGGCCTTTTGTTATATCCCAGCCTTTCTATAAGGGCACTGGCTTTTAATATTTAATTTAACCACTCAAGTCATTACTGAAAGAGTTGTTATGGAAGCCTGCATTGGTGAGACCTGGCCTGCCACACGAGGTTGCAGTGAGCTGAGATCGTGTCACTATACTCCAGCCTGGGCGGCGGAGTGAGACTCTGTCTCAAAAAAGAAAAATGATGCCGAAAGATTTGTTTGACACACGGTGGGCACAAACTTTCAATTTGTAAAAAACATAGTATCTGTGAAGTACAATAAAATGTAGTGCAATTACATGAGGTATGCTTGGATAGCAAAATATCATGTTGTACCTAGTAAATATATATAATTCTTATTTGTGAATTATACCTCAATAAAGCTGGGCAAATGAACTGTATTTGCAACATGGTAGGAATATATGACATTGGACATTAGTGCCTTGGTGAAAATGTCATACCACTGAACAACAACAACAAAAAAGTAGTGTAAAATGAAGTAAAATGTGAAAATCCCTAATTAATGCAGAAATATGAACTGTTTGTCCAAAAGATAAAAGTCTTTTCAGTTCCTCAAGAAGATTCTCTCTTTGGATGCTGGGCATGGTGGATGCTGGGCACCTGTATCGGAGCACTTTGGGAGGCCAACGCAGATGGATCACTGGAGGCCAGGAGTTCAAGACCAGCCTGTCCAACATGGTGAAACCCCATCTCTACAAAGAATAAAACAATTAGCTGGGTGTGGTGGCACGTACCTGTAATCTCAGCTACTCAGGAGGCTGAGGCACAAGAATTGCTTGAACCTGGGAGGCAGAGGTTGCAGTGAGCCGAGACTGCGCCACTGCAGTCCAGCCTGGGCCACAGAGCAAAACACTGTCTCAAGGAAAAAAAAACACAAAAAAAATAACAACAACAAAAAAGAAGATTCTCTCTTTGGGCACTGCTTTTCAATACATTCAATGTAAATGGATTAACGATACCATTTTTACAAGGTGAGTGTGTTTGGGCAAGTTGCTTCAGTGCTCATTCTCTTGGGTTCCTTTTTTTTTTTTTTTTGGAGACAGGGTCTTTCTCTGTCACCTAAGCTGGAGTGTAGTGAGGTGAATATAGCTCACTGTAGCCTCCAACACCCAGCCTCAAGAGATCCTCTTGCTTCAGTCTCCCAAATAGCTGGGACTACTGGCATGCATCACGATGCCTGGCTAGTTTTTAATTTCTTTTTGTTTGTAAGCACAGGGTGTTGCTGTGTTGCCCAGGCTGGTCTTGAACTACTGGGCTCAAGTGATCCTCCCACCTCAGTCTCCCAAAGTTTTGGATTACAGGCATGAGCCATGGTGCCTGGCTGTCTTTTGGTTTCCTCATCTGTAAAAACCGAGGATAATAACAGTACCTGTACAAAGTTGTTGGAAGAATGAAATTAGTTAATACAAGTGAAGTGCTAAAGAAAAAAAAAAGCTTTGGAACACAGCAAGTACTTGTTAGCTATGGCTATTGTTACCAACACAGTTTTCAAGGCAAACTCGTGGTTTCACCTATCACCTGAGGTTTATTACATTTTTTTTTTCGCTCTGTCGCCCAGGCTGGAGTGCAGTGGCACGATCTCGACTCACTGCAAGCTCCGCCTCCTGGGCTCACATCATTCTCCTGCCTCAGCCTCCCGAGTAGCTGGGACTACAGGTGCCCGCCACCATGCCCAGAGAATTTTTTGTATTTTAGTGGAGACGGGTTTTCACCGTGTTAGCCAGGGTGGTCTCGATCTCCTGACCTCGCGATCAGGCCTCCCAAATTGCTGGGATTACAGGCGTGAGCCACTGTGCCCAGCTGAGGTTTATGACTTCTAAGTCCATCAGATCTTCTCTTTTTGTTTTTATTTTAAAATTAATTAAATATTATTATTGTTATTTTTTGAGACAGAGTCTATTGTGTTGCCCAGGCTGGAGTGCATTGGCACAACCTCAGCTCACTGCAACCTCCACCTCCCAGGTTCAAGCAATTCCAGTGCCTCAGTCATCCAAAGAAGCTGGGATTACAGGCATGCACCACCACACCCAGTTAATTTTTGCATTTTTAGTAGAGATGGGGTTTCACCATGTTGGCCAGGCTGGTCTTGAACTCCTGGCCTCAAGCAATCTACCCATCTGGGCCTCCCAGCGTGCTGGGATTATAGGTGTGAGCCATTGTGCCTAGCCCTCTTTTCGTTTTAGAGATAGGAATCTCATTCTCTTCCAGAAGCTGGAGTGCAAAGGCATGAACATAACTAATTGCAGTCTCCAACTCCCGGGCTAAAGGGATTTCTCCCCCCAGCCTTTGGAGTAGCTGGGCCTCCGAACTGTGCCATGACTACTGGCTTCCATCAGGATCTTTGTCCTACCATTTCATCTTCCTACTAGGCTATCCCACATGGATATATAAATGGTACCTCAAGTGAAAGAAATCAACTACCTAAAATAGGATTTTCCACTCCAAACTAGATTTTCTTTACATGTCATTTCTGTTAATGTGGGTCACACACACTGGTAAGCTCAGAATCATCTTTTTCTTTTATTCACATCCAATATGGTTGAAATAAAACAAAACAAAATGCTGTTTTTCCTTTTTTTAGAAAGGCAATACTTGTTCATTATACAAAATTTAGAAAATATGGAAAAACAAACAGGATAAATTTTTTTTTTTTTTTTTTTTTTTTTTTTTTTTTTGAGACGGAGTCTCGCTCTGTTGCCCAGGTTGGAGTGCAGTGGCGCAATCTCGGCTCACTGCAAGCTCCCCCTCCCGGGTTCACGTCATTCTCCTGCCTCAGCCTCCGGAGTAGCTGGGACTACAGGCGCCCGCCACCACGCCAGGCTAATTTTGTTTTTGTATTTTTAGTAGAGACAGGGTTTCACCGGGTTAGCCAGGATGGTCTCGATCTCCTGACCTTGTGATCCGCCCACCTCGGCCTCCCAAAGTGCTGGGATTACAGGCGTGAGCCACCACGCCCGGCCAATAAAAATTTATCCACAACCAAAATAGCCTAAATTTCCAGTTAAAAATGTCAACGCATTTGATATTTGCCCACATAATTAAGACCATAATGTTTACACAAATGTGATCTTTTAAAATCTAAAAGGTTCTCACTATTAAAAACATTTTGTTAAATCTTGTTTTAAAAGTAAGAGTTTAACATCCAAATTCCCAAAATAGACATTTTTGAAGATTTGGAAAATACAGATGGTTCAAAATCTTGACATTATTACTGTTAAATTTTGGTATTCCCTGTTATTCTGCTAGTGAAATATATATAGATTTGGGGCGCTATTCCTTTTCTTTTCTTTTCTTTTTTTCTAAGACGAGGGTCTCACTCTGGTGCCCAGGACGGAATGCAGCGGCGCTATCATAGTTCATTGTAACCTGGAACTCCTGGACTCAAGGGGTCCTCCCGCGTCGACCTCCCAAAGTGCTGGGGCTACGGGCTTGAGCCACTCTGTGGGGCAAATGGTTATTCCTATATACACGGTTGAACCTGGAATAACATGGGTTTGAACTGCCTGGGTCCACTTATAAGCCGACAGAAAATACAGTATTCAAGGGGCCGGCATATAGAGAGTTCCATCCTCAGCACTGACTGCGGGATTTGAAAATGCGCGGATTTTTTTTTTTTTTTTTTTTTTTTTTAAGAAGAAGTCTTCGGAGTGTCGCTCTGTCCCCCAGGCTGGAGTACAGTAGCGCGATCTCAGCTCACTGCAACTTCCGCCTCCCAGTTTCAAGCGATTCTCGTGCCTCAGCCTCCCAAGTACGTGGGATTACAGGTGCCCACCTCCATGCCCAGGTAATTTTTTTTTTGTATTTTTAGTAGAAACGGGCTTTCGCCATGTTGGCCAGGCTGGTCTCGAACTCCTGACCTCAGGTGATCCGCCTGCCTCAGCCTCCCAAAGTGCTGGGATTATAGGCGTGAGCCACCTCGCCCGGCGAAATGCGTGGATTTTGGCATAAGCCGGTGGTTCTGGAACCAATCCCCCGCCAAGGGATGACTGTTTAAAATTTTTTAATTGTCCAAAACTTAGTATTTGTGGCCTACTTTTTCATTATGCAATTCTAAGTGTCTTCCTTCCCCTTTATTTTTTTTTTTTTTTTTTTGTATTTTTAGTAGAGATGGGGTTTCACTGGGTTAACCAGGATGGTCTCGATTTCCTGACCTCATGATCCGGCCGCCTCGGCCTCCTAAAGTGCTGGGATTACAGGCGTGAGTCACCACGCCCGGCCCTCATTTCTTTTAATAGATACGAATTTTAAAATGTATACTTTAGTATTCACACATGTCCGATGCAACGTATTTAACCAGTCATCTCCAGAAACGTTGTTCCAATTTACACGCTCACCAACTTGGACTGAGTGCTTTTTTCTTCCAATGCGTGGCGCACTTATAATTTAGAACAAGCGACCAAAACGCTTAAGAGCCCATCACGCAAATTGTTATCTGCTGGAAATCTACGCCTACGCTGTGGACACGGGGGCCGAAATCTGATCCCGGCTTCCCAAGACACAGCTCAGAACCCAGGGAGCTACCAAGAGCCCGGCTGTGTGCAGCTCTAGCGCCGACGTCGCCAACGTGGCGCACAGTGCTGACGCAGTACGCAAGTTCGTCGGGATGATCCTCCGCCGGCGACGTCGCTGCGTCACTGGTTTGCAGGCGCTCTCCTCTTGGAAGTTGCGACTGCTGCGGGGCTGAGCGCTGGTCTCCCGCGCCTCGGGAGCCAGGTTGGCGGCGCGATGAGGCGCAGCAAGGCCGACGTGGAGCGGTACATCGCCTCGGTGCAGGGCTCCGCCCCGTCGCCTCGAGAGGTGAGTGGGTCTCGAAGAGACCGACGGCTTCGACCTGGCCGGGCGGCGGCCTCGCCAGGCTCGGGCGTCATGGCTCCCGACGGGCGCTGCTCCCTGGCGCGCACTGTTGAGGCGCCGGCCGGCTAGCGCGGTCCTGTGGGCGGCGTGGCGCTGGCAAGCGCAGGGAGAGGCCTGGGGGGACCGCTGTGGGCGGGAGACCGTTGGCGCCGGCGCTTCCTCTTTCTCCCGGCCTGTTCCCGACGGTCCTCGCTCGTGGGCCCGCCCTGGCCCGGGCTTTCTGGCCGGTCGCGTGCCGCGTAGTTCCCGCGCGGCCTAGTTCTCGGGGGACTTGGGCACCCGGGTGCTATGTCGGCGGAATTCTTCCCATCCCCCGGACATTTTACATGTTGCGGCGGAGGTCGTACCTCCTTGGCCTGGGGGAACCCAGTGGGGACTGACGCAGCTCCGGGGTGCGCTTTGGCGGCTGTGACGAGTGACAACGTAGGGATCTCAGCGCGAACGTTTGCAGCGGCCCGACGGCGCAAATGACACGCGAAGTCCCCTTGTTTTGAGTATGAGGTGTTTGTCGCTGTCCCTTTATAAGGGTCCAGCTCCACTCCTCATACTCACCTCCCCCACCCCCAGAACAGTTTGGTAGCTGCTTTTGCTTTAAAAAAAAAAAATTATAAATTTCTTATAAATCGTTAGTATGGCTTACAATTTTTAACCTTTTCCACAAATGTTCTTAGGATATTTTTCCTCTTTATAGGTAAATAATGTGATCTGTTTTGGATTCAATAAGACTTTAGCAATTGGATCTAAAGAGTGACGGAGGAAGCTATTAAAGGTGGATGTGCACAGAATGTTGAGTCAGTTTGCTTTGGCTTGAATAATCAGCCCTGTCGTTCATAAGCTGGGTATTTGGGGCCAGTTACACTTTTCATCCATAGGTGGAGTTGTAACATTGATAGAATTTGATAGGATCCATTTTAAACATTTAGGGTTGTGCTTGATACATAGCACTGAACGTTAGCTACAAGTCACTGTTTTTATTGTTGATGTTAAAAGGATATTGGCGGGGCCCGGTGGCTCACGCCTGTAATCCCACCACTTTGGGAGTCCAAGGAGGGCGGATTGCCTGAGGTCAGGAGTTCGAGACCAACCTGGCTAACATGTTGAAACACCGTCTCTACTAAAAATCCAAAAAAAAAAAAAAAAAGCCGGGCGTGGTGGCGCACGCTCGTAGTCCCAGGTACTCCGGAGGCTGAGGCAGGAGAGTCGCTTGAACCTGGGAGGCGGAGGTTCCAGTGAGCCGATATCGTGCCACTGCTCTCCAGCCTGGGCGACAGAGGGAGACCCCATCAAAAATAAAAATTAAAAACAAAAAAACCAAAAAAACAAACGGAAACTCACGGATGACCATGATTATAATAGCAGCACAATTGTGTCTTTTATCATAACTAAGCGTAGGTTATCTTATTTTGTGCTTCCAGCAGCCCTGTGGATATTGAGACCTGTAGAGATTAAAGATACCTGTTCAGGGTCAAATAGGAAGTGCAGCAGAATTTTGGCAGTGGGTCTGATTTAGTTTCTCTTGGGAACTGTGGAGTAAGTTACAGCCTGTTCCTCCAGAGAGGAGGAATAGATACCTACTTGTACACTGTAATTTCAAACTGCTGGCGTAGTCATAAGTATGAACGTGGTGATAGAGTCTAAAACAGACCTTATTGAGGGTTCCAGTAACTCCTGAAATTAAAGACTTTAATTTTTATTTTTATTTTATTTTATTTTTTGAGGTGGGGTCTCACTCACTCTTGTCACCCAGCTGGATGCAGTGGCGCTATCTCGACTCACTGCAACTTCCACCTCCCCAGCTCAAGCGATCCTCCCACCTCAGTCTCCCGAGTAGTTGGTACCACAGGTGCACCCACCACACCCGCTTGTTTTTTTTTGTTTTGTTTTGTATTTTTGGTAGAGACTGGATTTCACCATGTTGCCCAGGCTGTTCTCGAACTCCTGGGCTCAAGTGATTTCCCTGCCTCCACCTCCCAAAGTGTTGGGATTCCAGGCGTGAGCCACTGCAACGGCCATTATTTTATTTTTGAGACAAGGTCTCTTTCTATCTCCCAGGCTGGAGTGCTGTGGTGGGATCATGGCTCACTGTAGCGTTGACATCCTGGGCTCAATCCATCCTCCCACCTTAGCCTCCTGGGTAGCTGAGACTACAGGCATGCCAGCTACAGGCATGCACCACCATGCCCGGCTAACTTTTTTCTTTAATGTAGAGACTGGGTCTTACTATGTTACCCAGGCTGGTCTCCAACTCCTGGGCTCGAGTGATCCTCCCGCCTTGGCCCCAGGTGCTGAGATTACAGGTGTGAGCCACTCTGCTCAGCCTGATTTTTTTTTTTTTTTAAACAAGCTTGAAAAAAAAAATAAAAAAAAAAAGCAAGCTTAGAGCCTTTCTGAGATTCTTAGGGGGGACCTTGGCTTCCAAAAGATTAAAAACCACTGGTCTAGACAGAAGTTAGAATGTTCTTTCAACTACATAACTTTTCCATTAAATAAAGTGGAGTGGTGGCAAAATTTTGAGGATTCATTGTTATGACCACCTCTCTCTTTACACTTAAAGAATATTTTTTTCCCCCAAATTGAAAGTCATTTACATTAGAATCTGGGGGATTTCAGTGGAATATGGATTAGCTAGTGAGTAACTTTGGAACATGTGAAGCTATTCTATAAAGTTAGGTTTGAGTGAAATGACAAAACAGTGTGCTTGGATAGAAGGTAAAGAATGGAGGGAGAAGAGGCAGTGTCTGTGAAGAATATAAAGAGGTTAGTATTCTCCCCCAGTTTGGCAGAGGCTGGTCATCTGTGAACTGACCATGCTTTCTAGAATGTCTGAGTTTTGGAGTGTGATGATGTGTCTGTGTATCTTATCTTTCTAGTCTTCCATTGTGCTTTCATTTGTTAGTCTCCTCTTTGTTTTGCCATTTTTCTACTCTCCTCACGTGCTTTTGCCCTTCTTAAAAATATTATTCGCCTGTAATTCAAGCACTTTCGGAGGCCGAGAGACCAGCCTGACCAATATGGTGAAAATCCGTCTCTATTAAAAATACAAAAATTAGCCGGGCGTGGTGGCAGGCGCCTGTAGTCCCAGCTACTTGGGAGGCTGAGACAGGAGAATTGCTTGAACCCTGGAGGCGGACGTTGCGGTGAGCAGAGATTGCGCCACTGCACTCCAGCCTGTGTGACAGAGCAAGACTCTTGTCTCAAAAAAAAAAAAAAAAAATTAAAAAAAAATATAATCCTTTCTCTAGTTTTTCTTTTTCCATATGGCTTCTGTTTAGTTTTTCTAGGTTCTGTCAAGTTGGTTTCTTCTGCAGCTGATTCCTACTTCTCAAAGGCTACTTGACAGCTCTTATTATTATTATTATTATTTTAGAATAGGGTCTTGCTGTGTTGCCCAGGCTGGCATCAAATTTTGGGGCATAAATGATCTTCCTACCTCTGTTTCCTGAGTACCTAGGACTACAAGCAGGCGCCTTTGACAGCTGTTAGTTGTTTTTTCTGCCCTTTACATCTATACTTCATACTTCTGTGTAACACACATATATACTTTTGTTATTTTTAATTCCCTTTCTCCCATTTTGGACATTTTCTTTTTTTTCTTTTTTGGGGCGGAGTCTCGCTCTATTGCCCAGGCTGGAGTGCGGTGGCATGATCTTGGCTCACTGCAAACTCCATCTCCCGGGTTCATGCCGTTCTCCTGCCTCAGCCTCCCGAGTAGCTGGGACTACAGGCACCCACCGCAATGCCCAGCTAATTTTTTTTGTATTTTCAGTAGAGACGGGGTGTCACCGTGTTAGCCAGGATGGTCTTGATCTCCTGACCTCGTAATCCGCCCACCTCGGCCTCCCAAAGTGCTGGGATTACAGGCGTGAGCCACCGCGCCCAGCCCCATTTTAGACATTTTCTACTGACTTTCTACTATGCTCCTCCCAAACTGTCCTCAGACACTTTGGTTTGCCCCTCATTCTTTCAGTACTGTTACTGCAGTTTTTGCTTAAATGAATATTTCACATTTATATAAATATCATAAGGTAAATATTTTTTCGTTTGAATTGCCCCTGTTATGCAGTTTTGTTTTTCCTGGACTGAATAATTGCTTTATTTTTTGGTTTGTTTATGTTGTATTACTCCTTGTTTACTTAAACTCAGCAATTTAAACCCTCAAATGTGGTCATACTGGTCACATAATCCCATCAATTTCAGCTTAAAACATTGCTTGATTGATTGTCTTTCTACCTAAGATACCCTTACTAACAGACTCCTCCAACCCGTACTGGTTTTTCTTCCTCTTTACTATACAGCTGTGCTCTTGGGACTTCCCTTTGTCATCAGCTTGAGAATTCCCTTCACCTCTTTTCTGAGTTAGACACTTTGTTTCTTGTATCTCATGTCCTCTTGATTTACTTTCTTTATTTTGGTGTAGCATAGCCTCACTTGCTTAGAGGAAAAGTGGATGAGAGGTTTTTGTTTTGTTGTGTGTGTTTTTTTTTTTTTTTTTTGATACGGAGTCTTGCTCTATTGCCCAGACTGGAGTTCAGTGGGGTGGTCTCGGCTCACTGCAGCCTCCTTCTCCCGGGTTCAAGGGATTCTCCTGCCTCAGCCTCCTGAATAGCGGGATTACAGGTGTGCGCTACCATGCCCAGCTAATTGTTTTATTTTTAGTAGAGATGGGATTTCACCATGTTGGTCAGGCTGGTCTTGAAACTAATGGTATGCCTGTAAAACATCCTTACTTAATTTAGTTGATCATTTGGTTATCGAATTCTGAGTTTGAAATAATTTTTTTCTTGATTTTGAGATCATTGCTCCATTTTCTAGAAGTTCTGTTAGAAGTCCCATGAGATTCTTGTTCTTGGTAACTTAAAGGTTTTCTGGAAGTGTCCTTTCAATTGGGAAACTCATTTCTTTCAGTTCTGTAACATTTCTTGTATTATTTCTTTGACCACTTC